AAGAAGCGCAGAGCAGCAGTTTTAACAATAATTTAAGCGATAGCTAACAGACAATCTGGTGCAAAGATCCCCACTGATACACGTTTTCCCGTGTTTCACCTTGCCTTCCTTCGCCACGTTGCTTCAGAGCAAATGGATTTAGAAACGGCAAGGCCGCATTAATGTCTGCCAAGTTACAGCTACAGGTTGAAAAAAAAAAACAACTTTCTTGCGTTATGGAAACATTCTTTACTCGGTTTTTTTTAAATAAAAATTCCAATTAATCATTTTGTTTCGCTACTGCTTGTCAAACGGATGCAAACGTCGGAACACTCTCGAGGGTAAGGTTTTATATTTTTCAGACATCGCATCATTATTTCTCCAGCTGATAGAGCGTGGATCAATATGCCACTATAGAGCACCTACACGCTTTCAGAATTGATCTGTGTGTACGAATTCGGGCCTTTACAAAGCCTCGCCGCTGACCTCCCGTCTTCCTGTTGCCTAAGCAGTTTTGGGTTTAGCAACGCAATAAAATATAAACGGCATCGATCGCCGCACTGCAGATTGGTTTCATACTGCGTCGACAGCCACGGAGTTGATGTGCATTGTCAGACGTTTGCACGTTGGAAGGCGCCTTAACCCCCGCCGAGATGAGACATTGGTCGTGAGTGATCGGCTCATTTCATAATTGTAAGGAACCTGTTTTTTTTTCATTCAATTGTCACACGCAGCGTTTAACGATGTGCTGATGAAATATATACATGGGTGATAAATAGTGGATTGTTTTAAAAATGCTCTACACATCGTTATGAGAGTGGACAATATTGTTATATTAACTATATTAAATTGCCAGAACAACAACTGTGCAAATCTAATGCCGGCATGTATGTTTTTGACCTTTTGGGTCTCATCAGCAGTCAGGCTTGTTAAAGAAATACTGCTGAGTTGCCAGATGTTCTTGGCAAGAGCACTCCATCTAAGGTTGTTGGGTAATTTAGGTCTGGAAAGCCCACGGGCTGACTGATTGCATTATTATGATTTTTATGTGAATATATGAAAGGAGGTCGCTTTATTTCATTGCCAATTATGCTCCAAAATAGGTTGAGTTTATTAATGTTCAATACATGAAAGTGTTTGGAGCCAACAGTGGAAAAGCTTAATCATGGATGAGAAGAGTATATGTAAGTGGAAGTTACCTGTGATAAATTACGACTAACTGGAGGCATTTATCATATAACTCATCTAATCCACAGTGGGGGGAAAAACAAATCAATGATTGGAAGACCTTTATGCCATCTGCTTCCTTCATTGAAATCCACAATCGGGAGGGATGCACAATGTTGCTATTGACCATGCTCTTGATCAGAATATATTTAAAAGTGTTGATGTTGACATTTTTTCAATTGTTTATTAAAATGAATGTACCGCATCCTGCTCCTCCTTGCTGTGTGAACGAGAGTGCAGTGAATATTTTTTTTTAAACGCCACCCTCTAATATGTACACGCATAATGTGCTCTTATACATTGTTTAATCAGTGGCTTGATTTTTTTTTATTTTGCTTAACTTTTCTGACAGCACGTGGCATTTAAATACGGATGCACATTTTGAAATGCATTTGAAATGTAGTTCATGACAAAAAGATGAAAGCTGCTTTATTCAGTAGAAATAATGATTAATAAATAATAATAATAATAGGGAAAGCGATGAGCGGATTAAAGGCGAGCACAGCCTGATAATTCATCAAATGTGTTAAACGGGCACTCAATCATTGAATAAAACTACCGATTTAACAAATTAATACTCGTGTTTAATTGAGGTTACTACCAAACTGGTACAATTAAATTGACAGATCTAGACAGTGGGATTATATAAGCTAGAACATTGGAATGTTCACGTCATTCTTTTTTCGTAAAAAAAAAAAAACAATAATACAATTTATTACGCATACCTATTTTTGCGAATCGGACTCAATGTCCCATCGAAAACTCGGAGGTGCAAGATATACGCTGTGAACAAACTGACGAGTTGAACGCGGAGGAGCGGTCGTGCGTGGGTCATGAACCCAGCCACTTGGGTACTCTTTTCGATCACGAATATGCGGGTATGCATGTACGTATGTTGAACTTATTTTGCACGCCACGTAGCCAACCGTGCTAATCGGAGGTGCGACACACGTCATAGGACCTGGAGAAAAAAAATCCACGCGACCACGGGGAGAATATTCAATCTCCAAATATACAGGAGGCGTCAGGCTTGAGATCGAACCCACGACCTCCTTAAAGTTTCGCAGTCTTTTAAGTGTTTTTGTTTTTTCAACCGCATTACCCTGCAGTGCGCTTAAATTGACGTGCATTAAAATAACTCATCAAATGTGCTTTATTGTCTGTCAGAAACAGCACCGTGCACATATTGACATGAGCTCTGTAAAAAAATTGGAATGGCCTATTATACAGATGCAAAAGAAATGTGTATATATTTACAATAAGTAATGAATTAGCCGCATAAATGCATCATTTGTCTAATTGCAAAATGTATGTGTACATAACCATTCTATAATTTATGCAGAGAGAGACGTGCAAACTCAAAATATACAGGCGTCAGGGACAGGATCGAATCCACGACCTCCTGTATACTAGGCAAGGGAATTAACATCAACCGCTGTACCCTAACATTGGCAGACTGGGTGGGAGAGGTGAAGCAATAGACTTCAGGCTGCACTAAAATAATTTTCATCATCCGGGGTGAAAGGAAAATAAGTGACTGTCGTTTTAAAAGTAAGAACACATAATAGTGTTGAAATTATATCTAGAGTACATTCAAAATGAACTGTGGTTCCAGTAAAAGTGTTGTTTGGTGGGTACGGCGCTATTGTCGTGGGGGGTGTAATTAATATAATTTGTGCGTTAAGCTAAGCTTATTCGTTTCCCATCCCCTTGGCTACAACACCTCCAAAGGGAAGGTCCTGCGTTTCTTCTAATAAATATCTCCCTAGCCCCTGGACCCCACTCCTCGGCCCCTTCATGCCCCCACCCACAGCCATTCGCTCAGAGTCGGTGAGCTCTCCAAACTCGTAAACCGTGTCACTGTCCCATCCATGTGCATGTGCACAGAGCAGTAAGCGCGATTTTGTTAACGTACAGCTTGCCGTCCGTGGCCACAGGGAGGGACAGGGATGAAGGCATTTATGATTTCCTATGAGTATATTGAAACTCGGTGTGGAAGAGTAGGCCCAAAATGAACTCGAGAAGGGCTCACACGAGAGAGAGCTCTATCTCTTTGGAGTTATATATCTCTCTCTCTCTCGAGCTCTCCATCGTGCAGGCCCTTCTGTCAACAGCGGCATGACTAAGCACTTGCAGGGCTGCACCTTTACCTCTGCAAGGAAACTCCTATTGTCAGCATCGACGTAGGGGAGTGGCAGCACTTTTCGTGGATGATCAGAATCACGGATAAAAATATTCATTACGCTGTGTTTGTGTGCAGTGTGTGCAGCGTGTGTATGTTGAACCTCTTTTACACTGCACGTAGCCAACCGTGCTAATCGTCGGAGGTGCGGGAAATATTGACACTCTATAATTTACTCGAATTGCGAAATAGACCATTGCCTCCGCGAATTTTGCATATCATTGCCATTTTATGGTAAATGTAATAATAAAAGTAGTATAGTGTACCCCACAGAAATGTTGCTTTATCTATAGGCCTATTATTGCATAAACTGTGTACTCAGTTTATGTATTCCGCTGACAGTGAAAAATAGCATCTTATCATTCGCCTAGCCCGTGCTAAAAATGAATTACGCTTTGCGATGTTGCTAATGGAAATTATTATTCTCCTAAAAAAATTTTTGTTCATAGGCTCAGCGAATCAGATCTGGGAGGACGTAAAAAAATCAGCGTGTCTACATCAATTTGTCAATTTATTTAACATCCTTTGCTTAAAGTGCATTCGCTTTTGTTGAAATTAAAGATTAATCCCTGGGGCAGAGAAGTGAGGAGATACAGATGTAGGCACTGCTGCCACATGCTTCTTCATTTTCACAAGCCTACAACGAGCGACTGTCACATGGTGAAAAGTGGGCTAGGTTTTTTGGCCCAGTCCTGGCCAGCCACCTCAAAAGCTTAATATGCACGCTTCGGGCATGTGACAATTCACACCATTGATTTGTCAAGATTAGAATGAAGTTAAAGGTAAAGGTGCAGTCCCTTGCAATTGGGAGAATGCTGCGACTGGTCAAAATACCTTCACTTTGAAGAGGTGGGAGCACCCACGCTTGATCCCACCACGCTTGACCTGCCGATTTAACAAGGCACTAAGGTGTGCATTGCCCGAACACAAGGTGTGCAAATGCTCTCCGCCTTATCCAGACCACCAGCTCAAAATAACTGAACGTGTGGTGATTTGTTTGTCAATTAGACCACAAGCTCAAAGATTTGAGAATGAAACAAATTGTCGAAGGGTATTTTAGTTTTATGACCTGCACTAATTATTCTGTTGTGATGGGAGATTGTCATCATTTAGAGTTTCGACTAACTGAAATTTACCGCATTATTCGTTGCTCTGTGGACAGAAGTGGAAGGAATTGAGAAACCTGCACCATTGTTTCAATTGCCACGCCAGGGAATTGAACGTGTAAACCTGGATCACAGGTGCCATGTGCGAACCATGCTGTCACAGCAACATCCCCATTTTTTTTTCAAGATACCGGGTCGCAAATTGACTCAAGCATTGATTTTGTGTTTTGTTTATTATTCCGTCTCATTTGTGCTGTTGCGATTTTTTTTGTATGCGTGTCTGTGTCACGTCTAAAATGGCTTCGTCCACATGTCACATTTAATATGGCTCGTCCACTCCGCTGGCCAAAAATGTAACATACTGTAATGTCTCTCTATCTCTCTCATCGCGAATATTCAATACTGGCACAGGGAACCAGACAGCCTCCCCAATGCTGTTGTGCTCTTCTCACCCCTCGACCTAGTCGCCCCCCCCCCTGTTTTGTTGTTGTTCTATGACTCTCTTGGTCATCCTTTTGTATCTTAGTGCATAAATGGCATGTATCATCGATTCTTAAATGTTCGGTGCTGCGGTGGTGTAATGGTTAGCGCACTGAACTTACAATGCAGAGGTTCGCCAGTTCGATTCGGTGTCCCGCAACAAGGGGCAGTCTTCTTAACCCCCCACTCACCCCGCCTCTGTCCACCCAACAATATCCGATGGGGACACCAAAGTCAATCGGCAGATCACGTCATTTTAGCACGCAAATATCGCCTGATGAAGCTGGACGCAATGACAAGCGAAGCGGCATTACTTGCGTTGTAAATGCCCACGCCGGTGGCCTGAAGTATGAACCAATTGTCACGTTTCTGTTCACGTGGCAAACCTTGCTAAATTACTGTGTCGGGTGGTGGTGGGTTGACGACGCATTTTCTTTTTTTTATTACGCGACTCTAACCCAAAATGTGTTGTATTAATATTATTATTATGGGCAGATCGTGTGTGGTGGGGTAAAATGCGGGAACTCTCGCTTCTTCCAGAATATCTGGCCAGCTTGGAAGACGAACTCAAGATGGGCCCTCAATGTTTAGATCTCGTGGAGCCATTGCTGGCAGCAGCATAGCAATCAAACTGTTGCAGGTCTGCAACTGTACCTATTTTTCACATTTAAAAGTGTCATTGTCGTTTGTTCCCAAATGCGCATGTGTCAACTCAGGGACAAGTGGTGACAACCGCATAGAGAGGGTTCGAGAAGGGAAGGAGGCGGGTGGGGACGTGGTTCGATGCTGTTTTGGCAGGGGATTCGGGTCGTGGCTGGTTTCTGTCTCATCGTCGTCGTTGCTGTATCGTGACGCCGGGGTCCTAAGCCGCGTCAGAGGCTAAATAAAAGAACCCTCTACAGTCTGAGTCCGGAGTCATTACACATGGATGTATGTATGTATGTTGAACTTCTTTCACACCGTACGCGGCCAACCGAGCTAATAAGAGGTGCGAATGTGTTTAATGATAGGTTACGGGTTCATCCCTAGCCGAACCGATGTCCTAATAAATGTAACATTATTTTGTAGGGAATTATAACATTCACCGTCTTTGTCCAACAGATGTTACGCTGGACTTGATAAATGCACATGAGGTGCAGCCAGTCTTGGCTGATACACCACGAGGCATACTCAAATAAGGGAGAAAGGAAGACGATTACACAGTTCGTGAACAAGGTGAGTGACTTATCAAGACAGTTGCCCATTGTGTTGCCTGACAGGTAATTTGCTCCATCGTGTTTCATGAGAATAAGCCAGGTCTCAGCAAACCACACACACACACAAACGAAGCTAATCTGTAACAATACGATAGCGGGGGCAATGCAAAGAGAGAACCAAGCCGCTAATTAATACGAGACATCTGTAAAGTCAAACGAAGTACAATTACATTCTGTGCAATCTCAATTTGCGCAATTAAGAATTTGGCATGGGATTGATGTAGAGTTCTTTATTCCATTGTATTAAAACATTTTAAAGGAACACTTTTCATTAATTTTGTCAGTGTGCAAACTGAATCGTAAATCCGTGATTTTTTTTTTTTACAATTTAAGATCTTTTTTAATACATCAATTTGACAATTAAGAAAAGTAAGTGGGCCATGGGCAGGACATGTCACGAGATGAGATGATGGCGCATGGACAGAACCTGGCAATGGGATGGAGGAGTGTGGAAAGGAGGGGGTAGTGTCAGCACTTAGTCATCTTTTGAATGAGCAGGGAAATGTTGTTATGTTTTTTTTTTCTATCGCTAGTGGGGCCCAGCCCCAACAGCTCATAATGAGGAGCCACCGCTTCCATGGATTCACATCCATGACTTCCAGCAGTGCTGACTTGGTGTTCTTACATGGGCATCGCGTTATCCCCACGTGTTACCCAGTCACCTCCAATTGTCCCTTTTTGAAAGGATTATAATTTCCCGAATGCTTGGCATTCGAGCACAGGGGAAGCTATGTCTATTAATAAAACATGCAAGGGACCGTCGGTCCACAGACTAAAGTAGTACACAAAGATAAAGGTGCAGCCCTGCGATTTCTTTCTCATGCCACTACTTGCGGAATAGTTTTTGCTATGGGGGCTCTAGAGAACCCACCTCGAGGGTATTTGTGTCCTACCCTTCCACAACTTAGTTGGTTAGACGTAAGGAAAGAGTAGCAGTACCGAAACTTTACGCCACTTCGCTCGACCTGCCAATCAACCATCGGTGCTGTACCCTTTCATACTGCTGGGTCAACAGAGAAAGAAGACTATAACAAGATATTGTTTCGACTTAAATCTTTCGTGACTGCAAGAGTTCATATTCTTGGTTCTTTCGGTGAAGTCACGTAGATAGAAAATAAAAATAAAATAAATATACGAAATAAAAATTATAGAGTAAAATAACATTTTAAAAAAATATATTTAATTGAAAATAATAATTATAATTAAATGTATTAGTTTAATTTAACATTTTAATTTAACTTTACTTCATTCTATTTTTTTTCCATCTACATGACTTTACCGAAAGAACCAAGAATAAGATATTGTATCAACTGCCGTGCTAGGAGATCGAACTAGTCAGTGACCATTCGACTGGCAAGTTTGCATCCGATAATGCAGTATAAACTGAACAAAAAATAAGATATGTATCATGAAAACTGGAATCCCAAAGTTGGCCCAAACTGCAGCAAAGCTTTATGCGCACTGTGAATATGATGTATACACTTTGATACGGGTTTATTCCTGCAAGATGATGTAAAATTGTTATAATGGACTTTTTCAAATCTCACCGTTAAATTGAAAATTACCCCGCGAAATTCAATAATAAGAAACGCTTGATGTTTGGCAATTTCCTGTAACTGTGACCTTTAAAATTGCACAAACACATTTCGCTAAATTATAATCGCCTTAGCAAAAAAACACATCAGTAAAAAAAAAAAATCCCTAACCTTTTAATAATCATGCCTCTCTTACCTGCTTCTGTTTGCAATGCAATCATGAACACGACCAGTGGCCTTGGCTTCGTCCTTAACGCTACTCCGCGGCACTAACCGAAAAGTTAAGCCAACACCTCACTTGTCGACTTTCAGAGGACCTGATTTATTTCTCATTTTATGCGAACATCTCTTTTTTTTTCTTACCGGCGGCATTGTTTTGCACATATATATAAATGCCACGACCTGGGAAAGCACACGAGGCAATGTAAATCAAAGGCAAACATTTTGGTAACCGTTTATTGATATTTGGGTAAGGCCACTTAATGATCCGGCCAAATATTCTGTTGTGCAACGATTCACAACCCCAACACAGGCAACACAAATAAATGGCCAGGTGGTTGGGGTGCAAGCGTTTTGTCTCACAGGTAAATTTGTGGCAATTTTCTCTACCAAATTTAGCAATGATGGTATGCCTGGATTCTCCTTCACTACTTATGGGAGAGAGTGGGGAGGGTTCAGCCACTCGTCAAGATGAATGGTTGGTGTGAAGGGTCAAGGGAGAAAAGTCATGGCACAGTGGCGGTGGCCTTGATGTCTCTTCCGTGGCTCAGCGGCCAGGTGGAGTTGATTATCAACACCTAGGATCGCAAATCGGCCATTGGGAGTGAGTTTGTCTGCGGCTCGGTGACAAACTATAGCCGTTTAGAGGGAGGGATCAGGGTAACTTTCGATGCTCTCCGAACAAATAACGTCTTCAACGTGTATTTCCTATCGCTGCTTAACGACTCAATCGTTGAACCAATTACCGTCGCTAAGAGGGATTCTACTGCATTGTCTTAACATACACGTGGTTCTACTGCATTGTCTTAACATACACGTGGTTCTACTGCATTGTCTTAACATACACGTGGTTCTACTGCATTGTCTTAACCAACACGTGGTTCTACTGCATTATCTTCACCTACATGTGGTTCTACTGCATTGTCTTAAACTACACGTGGTTCTACTGCATTGTCTTAACATACACGTGGTTCTACTGAATTGTCTTCACCTACACGTGGTTCTACTGCATTGTCTTAACCATCGCGTGGTTCTACTGCATTGTTTTAGCCTACACGTGGTTCTACTGCATTGTTTTAGCCTACACGTGGTTCTACTGCATTGTCTTAAACTACGCGTGGTTCTACTGCATTGTCTTAACCTACACGTGGTTCTACTGCATTGTCTTAACATACACGTGGTTCTACTGCATTGTCTTAACATACACGTGGTTCTACTGCATTGTCTTAACATACACGTGGTTCTACTGCATTGTCTTAACCAACACGTGGTTCTACTGCATTATCTTCACCTACATGTGGTTCTACTGCATTGTCTTAACATACATGTGGTTCTACTGCATTGTCTTAACATACACGTGGTTCTACTGCATTGTCTTCACCTACACGTGGTTCTACTGCATTGTCTTAACCATCGCGTGGTTCTACTGCATTGTCTTAACCAACGCGTGGTTCTACTGCATTGTCTTAACCTACACGTGGTTCTACTGCATTGTCTTCACCTACACGTGGTTCTACTGCATTGTCTTAACCATCGCGTGGTTCTACTGCATTGTCTTAACCAACGCGTGGTTCTACTGCATTGTCTTCACCTACACGTGGTTCTACTGCATTGTCTTCACCTACACGTGGTTCTACTGCATTGTCGTAACCAACGCGTGGTTCTACTGCATTGTCTTAAACTACGCGTGGTTCTACTCCATTGTCTTAACCTACACGTGGTTCTACTGCATTGTCTTAATATACACGTGGTTCTACTGCATTGTCTTAACCTACACGTAGTTCTACTGCATTGTCTTAACATACACGTGGTTCTACTGCATTGTATTCACCTACACGTGGTTCTACTGCATTGTCTTAATGTACACGTGGTTCTACTGCATTGTCTTAACCTACACGTGGTTCTACTGCATTGTCTTAACATACACATGGTTCTACTGCATTGTTTTAGCCTACACGTGGTTCTACTGCATTGTTTTAGCCTACACGTGGTTCTACTGCATTGTCTTAAACTACGCGTGGTTCTACTGCATTGTCTTAACCTACACGTGGTTCTACTGCATTGTCTTAACATACACGTGGTTCTACTGCATTGTCTTAACATACACGTGGTTCTACTGCATTGTCTTAACATACACGTGGTTCTACTGCATTGTCTTAACCAACACGTGGTTCTACTGCATTATCTTCACCTACATGTGGTTCTACTGCATTGTCTTAAACTACACGTGGTTCTACTGCATTGTCTTAACATACACGTGGTTCTACTGCATTGTCTTCACCTACACGTGGTTCTACTGCATTGTCTTCACCTACATGTGGTTCTACTGCATTGTCTTCACCTACACGTGGTTCTACTGCATTGTCTTCACCTACACGTGGTTCTACTGCATTGTCTTAATCTACACGTGGTTCTACTGCATTGTCTTAAACTACGCGTGGTTCTACTGCATTGTCTTCACCTACACGTGGTTCTACTGCATTGTCTTAACCTACACGTGGTTCTACTGCATTGTCTTAACCTACACGTGGTTAATTCTAGATTTGAAGTGTTCGTGACTGCAATAATCCATACTCTTTGGTTCTTTCGGTAAAGTCACGTAGATAAAAATAAAAATAAAGTCAATCAAATCACGACGTTTCGGAGGCAACACAAGCTTCCGTCATCAGGTGTAACTATGCACAGCAAAATAACTGTAACAAGTTTTTTTTCCCCCCACTGCATTGTCTTAATCTACACGTGGTTTTCCAATGCACGTGCTCTTCTTTCAGTCCCTCAGTGTAATTGCAAGCGTGCACCTCTACGTGCTTCTTTGTTCACTCCTCGCGAACCATTCGATATGTTTCATTACACAACTATGTTTCTGAACGATATGTCGCAACAGGTAATACGCACTGATTAAAACGAATCTTCTTACGGCACACTGAGCACAATTTAAACATTGACGTATATAGCGCCACACACACGTAGCATTAGGCTCCCTCGTTCACTTGTAGCCATGGGGTGATCAATCTATGCAACACGCCTGCCAATGTGTACAAAGTTAAATCATTTCTAACGAGGTTTTATTTGTTTTTAATTAACTTATGTATTTGCTTTGAGTCAAAATGCTCGAAGCATGTGGTTTGAAACTTCATTAAAGCAATAATCGAGTAACACGAGTCACCTTAATAAGATTTTACAAAAATGGAACGAGGTGATTTTTAAAGCACTCACATACCCCTGCTCATGCATTATCACACGTGCCCACATAGCATAATGTTTTTGTTTTACACCGATAGCAAGGCATCATTCAGAGCAACACTTCATGGGAAGCACACTTTGGCCATTGCAATGCATTGCGCAGCTGTTGCATGAAAGAGAACGGCGGAGTTTAAATGGTTTTCTTTTCAAGGTGAGATTTCACAACAAGCACTGATAAGTCAAGGTGAGCGATGATCAAAAGGAACTGTGTTCTCGAGCGCTCCAGCCGGCGATTGCGCTGGAGCACCTTTGCGTTTGCATTATTGTAACGTCATCGGTGGATATATATACATACACGAGGCAACCAAATAACACCGAGCAAACCAGGCAAAAAAAATATCTACATTCTGAAAAGTCATGAATGCTATTTCATGCCTGGCAGTAAATATATATACTCTTTGGTTCTTTCAGTAAAGCAACCATCTTCAGGTGGCACCTGCGATCAAAAGTTCGTGATCTATTATTGGTATTTTATTTTAATTTTCCACCTACGTGACTTTACCAAAAGAACCAAAGAGTATGAATTCCTGCAGTCACGAAATCCTCAAAAATCAAGAGTGAATACACACACACACACATAGATTTACCTTTTGGCATTTGGCAACAGCTCCTCTGACATTCTAAATGACTTTACAGAAGTAAAACGTTTCAAGCGCCAATCAATGTGGAAGCACTTGGGCATCCTGCAAATAATGCTGATATTGGCGCAGCAGCCATCTCCTTAAGCTAAGGCAGACGCGACAGCTGTCCTCATTGTGACAGCGTCCCATCGACGCGAGGCGGTGATCCCTGCAGGAGATGAACATGGCTTCTGCCCAGTGTTGTGCATACAGATAAGCCCCACGGCAAGCGGTGTCTAGCCCAGTCAGTCTATCATTGTCAATAATAATTACGGACGCCGTATTAAATATATATATTAAAAAAAAACATTCGCGGCGCGACGATTCGAGCAACAGAATGTGGACCGTTATTCCGATGCGCGGCACCCAAGTGGGAAGTAAACTGTGCACTTGTGAATTATCCTCTCAATCTCAAGGTTGCAGAAGATTTCTGCTCTTCATTCAACTCCCCCCCCACCCCCCCCCCCCCCCCACCGTTACGATATTGTTCATTGTCCCTTTAAGAGCATTCGTGTCCCTTAATAGAATATGCATTTTAATTATCTGTAAAGATTGCCACGTACAGTGCAATGCCACGCATTTTATCTGTTATATGTGCATTTTCTTAATCTTCAATTAGCGGTTAGTTAGGGCGGCATGGTAAGTATGGAAAGCATAAAGTGCACGGCTGTTCCATTACATTAAGTAACTAATGATGTATTTCCACGCAAAAAAAAGTCTCCGCGCCCATAACCCTTGAAGGTGACACGGGAAAAAGACCACGGGCTAGACTTTCTGCAGCGGAGGGTGAGTTTGTGTGGGTGGACAAATTACTCATATGGGTTATCGCTGAACATTCATTGTGGTCCCACACTCACCATTACACTCAATTACGAAGCTCAACTCATAGGGCTCATGGGTAGGGCCACTGAAAAAAAAAATCGGTATCCATAATATGAAGCTAAATATTTTTTCGCAAGCATGCGTTATTGTCATTAAAGAACCCAGACTACGGTGGGAATTCCAACAGGAGGGAAAAAAAAGCAATGTAAGGCACCCTCGAAATGCGCGAATGAACGAGGGCGTCCCGGGCTCGCTGCCCTACCGCGGTCGGGAAACGATCTGGAGCGGTCTATATAAGTATAGGGGGGGGCGGGGGTTAATGTAACCAAATAGAACCCAAAAATACAATTACATGAACGCGATATCGAAGTTTGTGAATCTTGCTATCTCCCAAGAGCAATGGTTACTATGTGCTCAGGGTGGTGGTGTAAGTACCCAGTGTGCGTCCATTCATATAAATTCTTAAGCTCAGGGAATCATATCCGTATGCAATGATGCTACTGCATAGGTTTCGCGGCCGTGCTGTACCTATCTACGTGATATATGTTGAAGTTATTTTGCACCGTACGTAGTCAACCTTGCTAATCGGAGGTGCACGGAGGCAGGACAACAAAGTAAACGCGAAAAAAATGCAGTTTTGAAGACAAGTTTTTCAAGTCTAGAAATGTGCGAGCTCACCGATGCGTCATCGGCTCTCGCTGCGTGCTGTTTCCAGCACGGTCTCCGACGGTTTGGCTCAGCACGGCATGCCGGGAGCTTCTCCAGGAACTGAATTCAATTCACGACCAGAAAAAAAAGGGCTTTGGAGAGCTCTACCAAACAATTCTGCTGCTTAATCGGTGCCTTGCGGCTCAAAGTACTCCTGCGGTCTGCTTGAGGCACCGACGCTGACATTCACCGCTGTCACAAAAAGTATTGACTCTTGAGTCTACTTATTACCATGTGTAGCGACAATTCATTGAATGGGTGGCTGATGGTTGCTGTAGGGGGCCTAAATAATTCTGGAGGGTCGAATCTTGTCCAATGTACCGGAGACACACACAGATGCAGAGGAGATACGGAGCAATCAACAGTTCATCTGAGTTGCAAATAAATTAACAGATGATGTGAAAGTTACGTTACTATATCGAGCTAAACGAGCAGGGCATTGGTCGATCTGGCATCGTCGTCCAAGTTTTGCCAAATACGAAAATAATGAATCGCAAATGACACAATTGACACAATTGCAAATTATGTGAAGTATAATACCGTCATTGTTTCCACTGCGCCAAATAATGGCGCAAATTCCAAATGTACTAATTTATTACGATTGTTAAGTATCACTACATATATTCTGTACATCCTCGTCTTGTTTCTTTCGGTAAAGTCACGTAGAATGGAGATAAAATAATAATAATAACAGAATAACATTCTCATGACGTTTCGGCCACAACACAAGTAGCCTTGTTATTATTTTATCTCCATGCTACGTGACTTTACCGAAAGAACCCAGAAGATGAAGCCCTGCAGTCACGAAAGCTTTGAATCGAAATTCTGTACATCCGTTGCAGTTACCGTTAGGATGAGGGCTTTTGGTGTGAGAATGTTCTCGCAAAGTTTTGGCACAAGTGTACAGACCTCTGGGAGGTCACGTGCATTCTGCGGCGTGTGCAATATCAGGAGCACACACAGCTATTTGACAGGGCACCCTAATGCAAGCTAAGCCTGCTTTGCAAAGCTTAGCTTGTTCGTTTGAGTTAAGTGGGCATCTAAGATTTGCAGCAATAGTGCTGCAAAACAAAACATAATCTTCCTTCTATCCATTTTTTTTCAGGGAGAAGATAAGTTTAGGTGGCAAATTAATTCGAAAAATCTACATTTGTTTCCGTAGAAAAGGGTTCGAATTCGGGACAGGATCTCAAATATGTCATATTGGCTCCCTTAAATTTACACAGCCAGTACGTACACGGAGAGGCTGTGCGTGCAGTGACATGATTTCACACACACACACAGCTGCACCTTCTGGAAACCTTGCTGTTAGATTGGTGTGAGAGCCAGTCCAGTGGAACATTGTTCGATCCTGCACGATACGACATTTTGAATGCCCATAACTGCCGTTGCAGATTATCCATAGCGTACATGAAGACAAATGTCACCTAATATACGGGTGAATGTTAAGAGGAGGAATATTTGTGGCGATTCGGGTGGCAGCTCCACCTCTTCGGAAAACTCACATGGCGTTGCTTCACTTCACCACAGAGAATACGTCCCACTGCAGGTGATTGAACCATAACAATGTCACATAGTGGGGGAGGGGGGGGGGGTCTACGCTTGAGAATAATCTCAGAGACTCTGAACGATTACAGAGCATTTGATAATATTTGCAACGCTGACCTGTTTTTTGCAACACACATTGCCGATTGCGGAGACTGTGTGGGAGCGATTGATAACCATCACATCGTCATGGTCAATAATTTGGGCATACAATTGTACACAGTACTCTAACCCTTCTGGGGGTTAAAGCATCAACACAATGCCACCGTGTATTGACAACACAATTCCACACCTGTTGTTTCACTGCTGAACACTTCAACATCAAATGATAAATATTGGGGTTGAGTGTAACGCTACATTTGATATTTTCTGATAACAAATGAAGGGCAAAACAATTCTGGGTCTCGGGTCAACTTCATGAAAATAAATGGCAAGCACGGACACCGATGTATTGTTCATTATTGGCATCGTGCTCAACACTTTATCTCGCCAATGCAACATTTGTTCCGTAGACCTGAGACAATTATCAACGTGGGGGTGAGCGAGCGAGAAGGTGGTGAGTGCGGCATCATATCGACTGGATTGACTCAATTATCGAGAGACCGCAGAACAAAATGGTTCAATTAATATTCAAACCACAAGGTTTCGCGCTTATTTTTTTTTTAGCTCCATTGCTACTTAAGAAACAGGAGACAACGTCTGAAGAAACCACATTAAGCCAATGTTGTGTTACTGCATTGGCGGTGGTGTGCCAAGCACGTGTTAGCAAAGACTCAACGCGCTCGTCAATCGGATGTATTTCTTTTTTACTTGAAACATTGGCCGTTCTATAATTTTGTCGTTTTGAGGACAGTTTTGTTTTGGTTTGATTGTTTTGTTATTTAAGTCAATGACTGTTGCAATGTGTACATTGTTCGTGAGAATGTACAAATATGTTAATACGCGTGGTATTGTGAAGAGGTGTACTATAATCATGTAACAAGTAAAATGGTCAAAACGTACATAATACAATTATGATATTTATACTCTCTTGGTCGAGAAATGGACTTGGTGGGAAATGCATCCAAATAGTATGGTGTGTTTTTGCAGGACATTTTTGCAGGTCACTTTGGACACCACCAACGTTTCCACACATGAGCAAAGCATTGGCAAAAGGTGAACCTGCAAGACTTGCAACTTGGATGTTTGTCGCGCGCTACAATACACCGTGTGGCGGGGATGTGATTCTGTTTAACGCACGTTCGACATTAGCACCGCAGACAGATATCTCTTTCAGGAAAAAACAAACAAACATAAAGATGCCTTGTTGAGCTCCCACTTAATTTGGGTGCAAATTGTTGCATGCAAGCTCAATATATATGTATACAAATAAAAACAAATTCTACAAAATTTAAAGATGCCTTGTTTTCGTCCTATAAACGTCAACATTTTTTTAAGTTTCAAACTGAAATGGTGAGATCAATGCTGGTCAGATCAAAAAACAAAAATCCATACTGACGATGTTGTGTACGGCTCGCCAACTCAGTTGCCATGACCGGGGGATTCAGGTGTCCATTCCACCCAGCTTACTGTCGTGCTGATAGCGACGTATTAAAAAATGATGAGACCAAGTGGGTGGGTGGCAATACATTCACTAATTACAGACGGTAACGGGGAGGGACATCGGCCATCACTCTCCCTCCGGGGCGTGTCATCCTGCCCGACACTTTCATTTTTCTCGCTTAATTCAATAACACCCCAGTGTTATTAAGTATGGCAGAATGATATCCCACTGTGAAAGCGGAAATTAATGCGATTTGAGCATAATAAACAGTTTCCGTGAATTTTCCACCCGCCGAGCTATTTCCAAAAAAAATATAAAAGCCACGCTCTCCTCCGTTCGGTTTAAATGTTTTAAGTTGAAATGCACTCTGGGCTGTGACTGCAATTAACGAGGAAATAAATACGTAAATAAACAAACCTTATTTCTAAATAATGATGGCGCTGCCAGTGCGTTGCTACTGTAAATGCACGCATTGAGCAATGGTTATTATCTCGATTTCCTTTCATTTGGCTTTATTTGCTGGTTTGAGGAAGAATGCAAATGTTAATAATTTATAAAATTGAATGACAATGGCAGTTTCAATGAAATGTAGATGCCCGGGCATTGCATTTTTTTTTAATACTGTGATGTGTATAGACAACTTACCTCTTTCCCCCCCCAGCGAATTTGATTGTGCAAAAATGCATGACATTCAAACATTTTCGGTAAATAGTGTAGATTTATTCATACACAACTTTTCTCGTGTATCTGCTATGCATACGAGCTGATGTCAATGCGAGTGTTTTAAGGAATTACGTCACCAAAAAACGTAATATACATACATCAAATCCACCAATTTAATATGGAAAATATTATTTAAATTTACGTGCGAAATATTATTGGGTGCCACGGTCGTGAGATGTTAACTACCTCGCCTGGTATTCAGGAGGTTGTGGGTTCGATCCCGACCCTGACGCCTGCTGTATATTTTAAGTTTGCATGTTCTTTCCGTGATCATGTGGATTTTTCTCCGGGTACTCCGGGTCATCCCTCCACATTTAGAAACATGCGTTCACAGTATTTGGCTGCTAAAAATTTCGCTGGGCTATCATTTGTGCCCAAGTTTTCTTCCGATAAATAGCTGCATTGCACAGTGCGCCTTACGTGGTAAATGCAAAAAAATTAGTTTAATACTTTACGAATGTGTTTATAATGGTAACAAGGCCTTGCGGGAGCATGTTCGCCTATTTCTGCAGAGCCTCACGGTTCTAATCAAAGTGGCCAACCTAATTAATACTCTGGGTGTATTAACCATCTGTTTCACAGTGGCCTTAAACGATTAGTGAGGACATTTTCAAGAGTAGGCCATTGTCTGCTGGCGGCATCGTCGACATTTTCTACATTTAGAAGAAAAAAAAATCAAGATTAGAAAAAAAAGTATCCACAAACTGCTCAATTGGAATATGCATAGCAATGATCACCCCCCCCCCACACACTGTGAAAACTTGGTAGGACCCTCGTGAGGAAGAGTCATGCGACTCACTGAGGCTTTCCTGGGAAAAGAAGCGTGACATTGGACTTGCAATACGAAGGTTTGCGGGTCGATCTCTTGGCACGTAATTTAAAACAATGGGAATTTGTTTCAACACACACACACACACACACACCTCCAGTATACATGGGTATACCGCAGGTGATCAGCAGTAGGTCGTGCATGTATGGATAAGTCAAATGTGGGTACTTCCACCTATTCAAATGGCTTCTTGCTAGCTTTGAGGAGTAGGCCAAAATGCCCTCTAAATTGTCTCTCTAGAGCTCCCCCTTAGTGGAGGCCCTTCCACCAGGAGTGGGGAATCTGAAGTGTGTCGCAGAAACCCACTGAAGTGGGAACCCTCGGGGACATTTGAAGGATTTTACCGAACCTGCTTTGCATGGTGAAGTGTTGCATGAAACAACTCAACGGGAAATTTAAATAAAGCACTAAAGAGTCCCATTGAGCTCCCTTGAGTAGAAAACAACGCTGGTAGATTTGCTTTAGACCAGAGCGCGTTGAGGCATGCGGAACACAAATGAAGAAGAGTCCGTTTAAACACGCCGTGCACATGAAGCCAAAGTGAGTGTTTGCTGCAATGATGATTGAGGTGGTGCTCAACTTCAGTTTGATCCAGTGGTGGAAATTATACATTCCTATGGATGGGGGCGAGTCCATCCGAAGGACAATCGCTGTTGACTTACCCACGAAGTGGTAACTATTTTATCGACATCGGAGAGATGATGGGCCAAGTCAAACACCAACCAGGATTTTAACTCGCAACTCTCATTTTGAGTCAATCGCCCTTCCGCTGAGCCACATGGTTCGTTGATACACATAAAGGGGAATCCAAGCATAAAATAGAAAACAATTATTCCAAGTGTGTTAAACCTTTCACGATGTTAAAATAATTGGAAATAAGATATTCGAGAAAAGTTATTTCAAAGAGTGACGAAGAGTTATTGCAGTACTTACGTATTAAATATTAAACACCCTGTGTTATTATTGCTACATTATGAAACATTCCGCAGGAGTAAATAAGCAAGTATGCTTGCGTTTTAATATTAACTTCTTAACATGTTGTCGTATACATTACATTACCGTGTGACTTGTGTGCAACTGTTATTCCTCGTGTTTTGGTTTTACTGCAGGACGTTTCATTATTTCTGTAACTATCATAGAGGAAAGGCAAAGTTGTTTAAGTAAAAAATAAAATTCTGTCTAACACATTAGAGCTTTTGGCCACAGCACTTACAATGCACGTGATCTCAGCAGATTTCGCTTAGCTAAGCAGGTCTGAGCCTGCACTGTGCTTGGATTGGTAAACAGCATGCATAACAGGTGTTACAGACTGTGGCTATATTATTTTGGGCTGCAGAGGGCAGTGTGGTAAAATACATTGCTGTGTACTTCTATGCTGGCACATACGAAACGAAACTCTTCTTTATTGTACTACGTAAGGCCCACTGAGCTACAGTGAGGGAAAAAAGTATTTGATCCCCTGCTGATTTTGAACGTTTGCCCACTGACAAAGAAATTATCAGTCTATAATTTTAATGGTAGGTTTATTTGAACAGTGAGAGACGGAATAACAACAACAAAATTTCGATTTAAAGCTTTCGTGACTGCAATGATTCATCTTCTTTGGTTCTTTCGGTAAAGTCACGTAGAATGAGAATAAAATAATAAATTGATAAAATAAAATAACACAATAATATTCTCACGACGTTTCGGCCACAACACAAGCGGCCTTCATCAGGTGAAGGGAGCGAGACTGTCTGGTAGGACAGCGCTGGAGTGAGAGAGCCACGTTCAGATCACGGCTTTTTAAGCTGTGTGAGAGGAACAAAGAGCCTTGACGAAGGAATTAGCATAAAATTTAGCATTGAAATGGCTGAATGATTAGCTTGTGACTGGTCACAGAAATAGCTATGTTAAAAGTTAAAGCATACACATCCGCAGAGGCACCCATTGTTAAAAGGAATTAGCATAGAATTTAGCATTGAAATAGCTAAATTAAGGCATACACATCCGCAGAGGCACCCCTTGATAATGGGATTAGCATAGAATTTAGCATTGAAATGGCTGAGTGATTCGCTTGTAACTGCTACAGAAATAGTTACGTTGAAGTCAGAGCATACACATTCACCGAGGCACTTAGTACAAATCAAACAGGAGAATTTAGCATTGAAATAACTAGGCGAATTTAGCATTGAAATAACTGGGTGATTTGCTAGTGACTGGTCACAGAAATGACTACACATCTGAGCTATTCACAGTACTATATAGTGAACCAATAAAAACTAAAATATAAATTACCTTCATGTTATCAATAAACTCTATATTCTCCAATCAGCTAAGCTACCAACCATAAGTCGTTATATATCACAATGCTATATGGCGAAAAAATGGGTGGATTCTTACCCTCAAATTTCCGTACCACGGATAGCTACGGGCCCCGTTCAGACGGACGAGTTCGTCCATGGTCGGAACAGAGGAGGGGGAGAGAGACAGCTGCGAAGCCCTAGTATACTCCATGTTGTAAACCATACCATTAACCGTGGTGTGAGAGGTATTAAGAGGCAATGCTGGCGAAAGAGCTGCGGTCTGAAGGTCATCGTAAAATTACAATTAATTAAGAACAGAAATGATTTAACACATCTTTCCAGTGGTTACTAAGCCTGAATCCATCTTCTCGGTTGAAATTGTCTCTGTGCTTGTATATGTGAATGGCCTCATGAACGAATCTCTCATGGTAGCCAGTTGGTTTGCAAAGAACCTCCGTCTTGGAGAAGTCAATGTCATGTGAGCCCACTGAATTGTAACAGTGATCTGCCACGGCAGAGGAGTTCGTCTTACCGTGTTTCAAGTCTGCTTTATGTTCGCGGATGCGGTCCGAGATATGTCTTTTGGTTTCTCCAATGTAGCTACTACCACAGAGGCACTTTAGTTTGTAAACGCCCGGGTACTGTATGTCTGGAAGAGCATCTTTTACAGATGGAACTAAATCACGGATTTTGTGTACTGTGTTGAATCGGACCTGGATCTTGTGTTTATTCAGGATTTTGGAGATCTTTTTAGTGACCCCTGCAATGTAGGGTAAGGTGATGGTTTTGAGTGGCTCCACAAGAGGATCCTTCTTCATGACTGGAGTGATGGCTTTGCGGATTGTGTAGTCGGAGTAGCCATTAGCCCTGAGAGCCTGGTGTACGTGCTTGAGTTCACTGGTAATGTGTTCCTGGTCGGAAATGCATTGGGCTCTATGGTATAGAGTCTTGATGAGGCAGTTCTTCTGGGATGGATGGTGGTGGGAATCCGGTTTCAAGTAAGCATCTGTATGGGTAGCTTTCCTGTAGACAGAGTGGCTCATTGAACCATCATGTCTCCTTTTAATTAAGACATCCAGAAAGGGTAGTTTGCCATCTTTTTCGACCTCCATGGTAAATCTGATGGCTGGGTGTATGGAATTGATGTGGTCGCGGAATTGGTCTAGAGCAGGCTGGCCATGTGGCCAGATGACAAAGGTGTCATCAACGTACCTCTTCCATAAGGTCGGGCGTAGAGTGGCAGTCTGGATGGCGTCAGTTTCAAATTTTTCCATGAATACGTTGGCTACAACCGGAGATAGGGGGGAGCCCATTGGGGTGCCCTCAGTTTGTTTGTAGAAAGTTCCATTCCAGGTGAAGTATGTGTTGGTTAAGCAATGTCTCACCAGGGGGGGTACATCAGTATGCAGTCCTTGATGAACCAGGTCTTCAATGATAGCGATGGTGTCAGGTACCGGGACTTTGGTGAACAAGGACACCACATCAAAACTGACAAGCAGGTCGTTTGGGGACAGGGAAATGTCTTTGATTGTCGATACCAGGTGAGTAGAATTTAGTACCGCAGAGGTGGTTTTTCCAGTGAAAGGTCGCAGTATATCAGCCAGAAAACGTGCCAGTTTGTAGGTGGGGGAGCTGATAGTAGAGACGATGGGACGAAGGGGTGTATCTTCTTTGTGTATCTTTGGAAGGCCATATAATCTTGGTGGTCTGGCAGCAGAGGGTTTCAACAAGAACTGTTTGTTCTCATCAATTAATGCTGTTGAATCAGAGATAATTTTGTTCGTTTTGGTGACCAGGCTGTTGGTGGGGTCTCTTTTTATTTTTGTATAGCTGCCATCGTTGAGTAGTTCTTGAATTTTGTTGTTATATTCTGTTTTGTCCATGATGACAGTGGCATTGCCTTTGTCGGCTGAGAGAACGACAATATCATCCCTCTTTTTTAATTGAGATAATTCAAAACGTTCGTCTTTGCTGATGTTGCTAGGTGGCAACTTAGCGTTTTTGAGGGTTGCAGCGATTTCAGATCTTGCTACGTCTGCAGAGATGTGACTCAAGCCCTTGAGTGCAACGTCGACAT